TGGTCCCTTATCGACGAATTATACCTCAAGTCGAAAGACGATTCAATCATTCATCAACCGGAGCTTAGTCAGCCTATCTGCACCGCTCTGCAGGTGGCCATTCATGACTTGTTGATCTCTTGGAAAGTTCGTGCTTCGATATCTGTGGGCCACTCTTCGGGTGAGATCGCTGCTGCTTATGCTAGTCGTGCAATCTCACAAGAGTCTGCCTGGATGATCGCTTACTTTCGAGGTCTAGCAGTCGCCATCATTAAGACTATCAATCCTTCTCAGGGCGCCATGATAGCTGTTCAGGCCCCTTTTGAAACCTGGAAACATATCATGAACAAGCAGAATGCAGAATATCCAACCAATCCCGTCGTTATCGCCTGCTACAACAGCCAGAGTAGCTTCACACTTTCAGGTACACATAGCATGATTCACCAAATGGCTATCGCTCTCAAACAAGCAAATATCGAAGTTCATACTCTCAAGATCGACGTTGCTTATCATTCACATTGCATGAAGCCAGTTGCTGATGTTTATGAGAAGCTGCTTCGGACGATCGAGCCTGGTGAACAAGTAGAGGCTCAACCATCCTTTGTCTCTACTGTCAGTGGAAAGAATATTCAGCAACTTAACGAGCTGCATACTTCTGAATATTGGCAACGAAATCTTACTGGATCAGTACAGTTCTCAGCTGCGTTGCAGGATATATGCGCACGACAAGATGTCTCGACTTTTTTCTTTCTCGAGATTGGCCCTCATTCCGTTCTACGTTCACCGCTACGTGATATACTTAAACAAAGCGGAAGAGATGTTGCGATCGACTACAGCTCTGTGTTACGGCGTGACCACGCCGCCAACATTACAGCTCTGGAATGTGCTGGGAAGCTCCACACCATCGGCGCAACTATCGATATTGCTGAAGTTAATAAGGACAGCGACATCAGTCCCAAATTCCTACCCTCACTCCCATGTTATCAGTTTGAAGACAAGAAAAAATATTGGCTCGAAGGTCGGACGAGCATTCAATACCGTCAAACACAATTTGTGCATCATGAGCTTCTTGGCTCGCGCACACCCGACTGGAATGAGCACGAAGCACGTTGGACAAATCGTATTCTTCTAGACCAATCCCCATACCTTCAAGATCATCAGATCAACGGTCTTTGCCTCATGCCTGCTGCGGGAATGCTTTCAATGGCTATCGAAGCCACGCGCCAGTACTATGGTCATCAAACCGCAGCTGTATCAGGCTATAAGCTCAAAGACGTCACATTCACCAAAGCCATGACACTTTCAGCAGACGCTCGTGGCACAGAAATTCAGCTCACATTACGGCCCGCAGTGGTCGAATTACGTGATGTGCAGCCCGGTAGCTTATGGAATCAATTCTCCCTCTTCTTACACGAGGATGGCGGATGGCACCTGTGCTGTACAGGATTTGTGGCGATTGAATACGGCAATCACCATGACAGTTCTGGAGATCTTGCCGAATGCGCGACGGCAACGAAAGAGAAGAAACAGGCGTACCTCGCAGCTTCGGAGAAATGTCGCATTGTTATCGACAGTGCTGACATCTACGATGCTTTTAGTCGAGCCGGTCTTACGTACGGTCCAACGTTTAAAGGCATGCACAACGTCAAATGGGATCAGCACAACCAGGCTACAGGTACGATTGGCCTTCGAGATTGGCAGACACATGCGAAGTTCAGCTACAACGATCCGCACCTTATTCATCCAGCTGCGTTGGACGCTATTCTTCAGATGACGTTCCCAGCCTACTCCATCTACGCAAAGGACTCATCAACTACCACCGTGCCGACGGGCTTTAGTAACGCCTGGTTCTCCGTCAAGCTGATGCGCGATCCATCAGATGCGCAAGATGTGGCCGTGCATGCGAAGGTTTCTGGACGTGGATTCCGCAACAAGCTCTTCTCCGTCACCGCAGCGTTTGCCAATACGCAGGAAATCTGCTTCTACGGTGATCTAGAGACTTCCACCATCGGTCGCAACAGCCCATCGGCAGGCAACAAAGAAGGGCGTCGAAGCTTGTACCGAATCAACTGGCAACCGGCCAAATTCCATCATCTGACGACTCTGTCACCTCGTTTAGCGACGTCCAAGTCTTGCATTCACATTATCTATGATGAGTTAGAGCCATTGCAGTTAGACTTGATGCAGACTCTTCGACGAAAAATGTCAGCGCAAGGCGACGTCGGTGTAGCTCTAGTCACATGGAGCTCAATCGCCCAGCATGAGCTTGACAAGGCTTCTTGCATATTTCTTCCTGGTTTAGACGGAAATCTACTCCAGCGCATGCAAAAGGACGAGCTCGCGAAGATCAAAAATCTGCTCTCGAAAGCTAGTACCCTCCTGTGGATCACTTTCCAACACCAAGCGATTGACCAAAGCCCTACGGAAGGCCTCGTTTCGGGACTGGTACGTACGCTGGCGACCGAGTCTGAAGACTACCGGCTTTCGAGCATTAGCCTCGATCTTGAGACTGGGCTTGACACAGTTGCTGCCAACATTGTTAAGGTTGCCATCACGCTACTAGAACCGCAAACTGACCCAGAAGACGAGTACTGCGAGATCGATGGTCATCTGTGCACTCCGCGTGTGGTTGACGACGCGGAGCTCACTGTCCAAGCACTGCCTACTGAAGACACTGTCATTTACATCACCAAGCCTTGGAGCGAACTTGACAGCCCAAAGCTGACCATTGGTGCCGCAGGTGTCTTGAACACACTGCACTATGAGCAAACTTCTATCAGAATCAATGAGCTTGCGTCAGATGACGTAGTCATTCGAGTAAAGGCAGTCGGTCTTAACATGCGGGACATCTTGGTAGCCCTTGGCCAAGTCCACGATGAAACCTTTGGAAGTGAAATTGCTGGAGTTGTAGTAAGCACCGGATCGTCACATGATGCACGCTTTCAAATTGGCGATCGCGTCTTCGGCGTGACACGAGATGGCGTCGCGCAACTTGCTCGCTGTAAAGTCTCACAGCTTCAGAGAGTTCCAGATAAGATGAGCTTCTGCGAGGCCGCAGCCTACCCTGTGGCTTTTTGCACTGCCTATTATAGCTTGAAACAGTGCTATAGCATGAAGAGCGGCGACTCGATCTTGGTTCACAATGCCGCTAGTGTGTTAGGTCAAGCGGTTATCAGAATTGCCGCTTTTCACGGGTATTCAAAGATCTTTGCGACAGTCAGCACGGCTGATGGAGCTTTCTTCCTGGAAAACACTCTAGATATTCCGAAGTCGAACATATTCTCGATCAACAGCCTCGATTTTCAACATGGTATCCTCCGCTTGACGAATGGTCAAGGCGTCGCGGTCGTAGTGGGCTCTGAAGATCGTTTAAGTGATTCTTGGCCGTGTATCGCCTCCTTCGGACGCTTTGTTGGAGTTGGAGAGAAGGACATTTTCCCCTCGACCGCCAACAGCTCAAAAGACATTGTGCTTCCATCTACCACGAAAAACATTGCTTTTGTCAGCGTCAACTTTCAAGAGTTGGCCAAGAGCCATATATTTGCTGATATCTTCAAGCATGTGTTGATGCTCATAGGAGACGACAAGGTCACCATTGCTTCACCTCCAAATGTTTTCAAGCAGAGCGAGATCGAGCCCGCTTTCCGGCGGATTAAGGACGTAGACATGGTGGAAAAGGTAGTAATCGAGATGGACAGTGACGAGATTGTAGTGATGGAACTCGCCCAGGATTCTGCAAAGCCCCTTTTCCGCCCAGACGCCAGCTACATCATCGCTGGTGCGTTTGGAGGTATAGGCCAGAGCATTGCTAGGTGGATGATACAACATGGAGCCAAGCATCTCATCTTACCATCAAGGTCACCAGTCGAAGGCACTGGATCTGAGCGCGATCACTTGGTGCAGGAACTGAAAGCTGAAGGCGCAGGGGTATATGCTCCGGTGTGCGACATCGCCAATCGTGATCAGCTTAGGGATATGCTTGTGTCCTTTGCTCATCTTCCGGCAGTCAGGGGATGTATTCAAGCAGCAATGGTAATGCGAGATTCGTCCTTTGCGAACATGACAATGGAGAAGTGGCACGAGTCGCTCGCGCCCAAGGTAGACGGCTCCTGGAACCTACACCAGCTCTTACCGCTGGGCCTCGATTTCTTCATCATGCTGTCATCCTCCACTGGCATTATGGGTTCGTTTGGTCAATCAAACTACACCGTCGGAAACACATATCAAGACGCACTAGCAGCACATCGAATGCGCCACGGCCAGCGCGCCCACGCTCTCGCACTCAGTATGGTCACAGGCGTCGGCTACGTTGCCCAGAACGACCAAGTACAAGCTCTACTCCGCGTACGTGGCATGCTGGAGGAAGTACCTATGAATGATATTTACAACCTTCTCCGGTTCTGCTGCGACCCGGAGCGTGTTGACACTAGCACAGTCGGTTCCCAGATCATCACACCCTTGACTCTGCCGGCTGATCTTCGAGCAATGGGTATCGTTGCACCTCTGGGTAGTACGCGGCCAATCTACCACTACTTGGACACACTTCCCTCACGCTTCTCCTCGGACACGGCATCGGCCGAAGCCAAGAACCGCCCCTCGTACAAGCTTTCCGAAGCTACTTCGCTGGCTCAAGCTACAGATATCGTTGTCGAAGCTATACAAACTCAGCTATCCAGTCTTCTCGTCGTTAGCAGAGATGACATTGACTCCCAAAAGGCGATTTATCGGTACGGTGTAGACTCTTTGGTAGCGGTGGAGATGCGCAATTGGTTTTCGAAGGCTATCGGGGCGGATGTCGGGACGACGGACATCATGAGTGATATCAGTATCTGGTTATTGGCAGTCAAGGTTGCGGGGAAGAGCAAGTTTGTTAGGGACGAGCTGAGGGAATAAGGGTATGCAGTCGTTGGGCCAGTCGTGTACATGGATCCTTTTCAAAGTAATGGCCTTGTTACTCACTATCTACGACCCGTGCGATATCTAGTCAGACTGCTAGGTTGCATGTTGTGGCGTCGTGGCCGCTATCGCAATAGTGCTTCTTGCTCCTCCTTGGAGATACCAAAGAGGTACAGGACGTCCAACATGCTCTTGGAGTTTAGGCGAGCAGGAGCCTGCATCTGCACTTTTGGCTTTGCGTGGAAGGCAACACCCAAACCAGCCACACCCATCATGGGAAGGTCGTTGGCGCCGTCGCCGATGCATACAACTTGGTCGAGAAGTATGTTTTCTTTCTCGGCAATTTCCAGGACGTGTTGGCGTTTCTTCTGGGCGTGTACAATTTCGCCAGTCAGTTCGCCGGTAAGCGTGGCTCCGTCATGGGAAACAACGAGATGATTGGCAAAGGCGTAGTCGAGACCGAGTTGCTGGCCCATCCAGCCCGTCAGCGGAGTGAAGCCTCCACTGAGAACGGCAGTCTTGAAGCCTAATCGCTTCAAAGCGGTGATGAGATCCTTGACGCCCTCGTTCAGAGTGATGCGCGGCTTCAGCGTCTCGAAGACGGTGCTTGGCACGCCCTTCAACAGCTTGCATCGTGCGCGCAGGCTAGCCTCAAAGTCCAACTCGCCGTTCATGGCGGCAGCGGTGATGGCGGATACCTCCTTCTCGACGCCGATGAGCGAGGCGATTTCGTCAATGACCTCCTGCTGTATCAGAGTGCTGTCCATGTCAAAGACAGCCAGCCTCTTGTACCGGCGGTGGACCGTGTCTGGCTGGAAGACGCACTCGGTGTTCCATTTGCGCTCGAAGCGCGATACAGCCTCATGCCTCCGCAGGGTCTCGAGCGCGATGGGCGAAGCGCTGGGCAGCGGGAAGGTGACTTGGACTACCCTGCAGAGCTTGCTTGCCTCGAGCCTCGTGCTCGTTATCGTGCTCTGCTCCAGGCCGGCGATGACGCTGGTGAGGGTGGCGAAGAAGTCTGTGAGGCAGCTTTGGCTGATGTAGCTTCCGTAGAGGTTGTCGAGAGCGTTGGGCCCAGGAGTCGGCGGCTCGAGCGGGTAGTCTGCAAGGTCCTGGGTAGGCACGACCCCGTCTTTTAGCGACTCGAGCGAGGCGGATGGGATGGCGTCGCCGGGACTGCGTGGGGACAAGTCTGCATGCTGGAACAAGTTTGGCGTGTCGGCCTTGTAGAACAGCGTGGCGACGAGGTGCGTGGCCGAGACATCGAGGGCGGGGGGCTTGGCCGTCATGATGCCATGGATCGAGTAGTCGGATGAGAGCAACTCGAGGGCAGCCGTGACTTGTTCACAGCCAAGGCGGGGTGCATGCGACTGGAAATTTACGCAGGGATCCAGGAACAGCCCCCCACCAGCTCATGTGCCGAGGCTGCTCGTTTTTAGTGCACCTTGCGAGCTGAAGCACCAACATGGCCGTACACGTCCCCCGCGATATAAGAGGCATCCCCCGGCTAGATAGCTTTGCACAGCACAAGACACAGCCATGGACGACTACAAGCCACAGAAACCAAACATTGTCCAATCGCTGCCCATCGACATAACCGTCCCCTACGACGTAGCCTGGCTCAAGGCCAAGGTCATACTGATAACCGGAGGAGCGAGTGGCTTCGGCGCAGGCTTCGTGCGACAATGGGTGGCTGCCGGCGCAACCGTCATTGTCGGAGACATCAATGTGCACAAGGGAGACGCCCTGTGTCGTGATATCAACAGGGACACTAACAATGGCGGCTCTGCCCACTTCGTACACTGCGACGTAACAGACTGGCAATCGCAGGTCAACCTCTTCAAGGAAGCAGTCAACAAGAGCCCACATGGAGGTCTTGACTGCGTCGTCGCAAATGCTGGCATAGCAGGCCGCGACGTCCTACAGGAAGGTATCAACCTCGATGCAGCCGAGCCACCCCCACCCGCCTTCAAAATCATGGATGTAAACCTCACTGGTGTGCTCTACACTACTCACCTTGCATGTTTCTGGCTACCTAAGAACCCGGGTTCCTCGCCCTGCAGCCTCAACTCGACGCCTTCCACCACATCCCCTCGCGACCGCCATATACTACTGTTAGGCTCCATCGCCTCTCTTGCCCCCATTGCGATACAGCCGCAGTACTGTGCTGCAAAGCATGCAGTCCTCGGTCTCTTCAGAAGCCTGAGGGTTACCAGCGGCCTTCAAGGCATACGTGTGAACCTTCTCTGTCCGTATTTCATCGACACGCCCATTGTGACAGCTGGTGCGCGATTCATACTCGCAGGAGGCGGATTGGGCAAGGTCGAACATGTAGTCGATGCAGGAACACGCTTCGTTGCCGATTCGCGCATCCTCGGCAGGGCCCTTGTTGTAGGACCCAAGATGCACGTCCGTCAGAAAGATAATGGCGAGTGGGAGCTCGTCACTCCCGGCGCTCCTGACAGTATTGAGACGGCAGTTTTCGAGCCTTATGCCGATGATTGGGAAGATCAGGATCAATGGAACCGTACCTTTGTCAAGATTTTGAACATGGTCCAGGCTGGGAGAGGCTGGGTTGGATGGGCGCAGGACATTGTCAAAGCATCGCTGTACAGTCTGGGCCTCGGGCGGTGATAACTCGTCGTGAAGCTACGACTATGTCCGGGAGCATAATCAAACACTATCGTCATCAGACACCATGATGCGTTGGCTTTGCCGGCAACAAACACCTTCTGGCGCTAGAACTATTGTGCAGTAGTGGCCAACCAATGGATCATGGACGTCAAAAGCGTTCTCAGCTAGCTGCATTGGACCAAAACCCCCTCCAAAAGTGCTTGCAGATCGAAAACCGGCCGCTTCCAGAAGCCGACTATAACGCATTTGGGGGCATTTGTATGAGTTTGGATGGCGAGGCGGATGAATCGGAACGCTACACACTTAGGCTTGCATCATAGGGTCACGATCCCTATGCAGCATCGGCCGTATGCATCGCAGCTGGGATGCACCGACACATCCCACAGTGAGTAGATGGTGAGGCTTGTACTATACACCACCTTCTCACAACTCTGGTGTACCCAGTGGCATGCAAAAAGCACCCGCGTTGGACAATGCCATGTTTCAGAATATGGGATTCTAATCCCTGTCGCTCAACCTCGGCAAAAGAGTCGCCCAAGGAACGCCCAGGCACAAATTCAAGGTCATTGGATTAACCCGACCAAGTTAAATCCCGAATTGGGGCCTTCCGCAAGACCCGTAGCATACATGTGATGTCATGCCGCCTGTTCCTGCTGTCCACCGGTTGGCCCTGATCGCCCGCTACGACAATTCGACGCGATTCGCACGTGTGTCCTTTCACATTTACGCGCGACCGTTGTCCACATCCAGACAAATCTACCAAGAGTTTTGCTGGCGCATGCAGGCGAAGCAGGGGCGCGCGAGTTCCTTCAGGCTTAGGTTTCGCTCTCTCTCTGTGCTGTCACCATCATCGCTCCGTCACTCCCGCCAACGCGGACTCATCACTAAGATCCAGATCGGCTGACCCACAGGACGCCAAACTTCTTCGCATAGCAGCTATGGCGAACCCTACTCCTAGTCTCAAAGACGAGGGCGTCGTCTCGCCTGTTGGTATGGTCATCGAAGAGCCGACCTTTCCGGATATTCCTGGCCAAGAGCCCACCGCGCCCGCGCCCACCCAAGACACATCGACCGCAGACATGGCTCAGAAAGACGGCGCATCGTCGCCAGACCGAACGACTCGAGCATCACAGCATGCCGCCGAGTCGACATCCAGTGTATTCACGTCGACATCGCGTCCCGCCCAGCAGAGATGGGCGACTGAGCGACCAAAACCTTCTGTGAGACACTCATTACTGGGAAGAATGCAACAACCACGCGATGCAAGACCAGCAGCGCCCGAGAGAGCAGCGACGATTACTTTCGACCCCGACTCCGACTCCTCCGACTCTTCAGACGATGAGAAAGAATATCCCCGCAAGAGCCTCGGCCACGCTGACGACCTCACCAAGCAAGCGACACGCAAGCCACGCGGAAGCCGGTCCGGGCCCTTTTCCCGCTTGAAGATCTCCAACGAACACTTCAACACAAAGGGCAGGGTTTCAAAAGCAGATGGGCGTCTCAAGCTTAGCATATTGGAGGAGAATCTCGGTAGTGGCTATATTGCAAAAGCTCTAGGCACAGCTTTCAAGAAGCATGGCGACGATGAGGACCAGGGACCTGCGAGTTACGACGAGGTTGGAGCCACCAAGATCAAACCAGAAGATGACGAAATGGAACATGACCCTGCAAGAAGGATCAAGCTAAATATCGTTATCATTATCATTGGGTCGCGCGGTGACATTCAGCCTTTCATTCGCATAGGCAAGATTCTAAAGGAAGATTATGGGCACCGCGTTCGTCTGGCTACACACCCAGCGTTCAAAGACTTCGTGGAGAAGGATTCGGGCTTGGAATTCTTCTCCGTCGGTGGTAACCCAGCCGAGCTGATGGCCTTCATGGTTAAAAACCCTGGTCTGATTCCGAATATCGAAACAATCAAGGAGGGTGAGATTGGCCGACGGAGGAGCCAAATGTACGAGATGTTCCAAGGCATGTGGCGTGCTTGCATCAATGCGACCGACGATGAGACTGACAAAACGAACGCCAAGATGAGTAAGTCGTTCAGATCAGCTTGCGCCGTATTCTAGCTAATATGCAACAGTGGGCGACAAGGCACCCTTCGTCGCGGATGCTATTATTTCAAATCCGCCAAGTTTCGCCCCAACTCACATTGCCGAGAAGTTGGGTATACCGCTACACATGATGTTCACGTAAGTTGTTGTCACCTGAAGTCTCAATCCGGTACTAAATTACTAAAGATTCCCTTACACACCCACGAGCCAGTTCCCTCATCCACTTGCAAACATCAAGGCCAGTAATGTCGAAGCGACCTACAGCAATTTCATGTCATACCCACTCGTCGAGATGATGATGTGGCAAGGGCTTGGTGATCTCATCAACCGGTTTCGTACCCAAGTCTTGCATCTCGAGGAAGTCAGCAGGATATGGGCGCCAGGTCAACTCTATCGGCTAAAAGTACCCTACACATACATGTGGTCACCGGGTCTCATCCCGAAGCCCAAGGACTGGGGTCCAGAAATTGACATCTCGGGTTTTGTTTTCCTTGATCTAGCTTCGTCATTCACGCCACCAGATGAGCTAAAGAAGTTTCTGGACGACGGACCTCCTCCAGTCTATATTGGATTCGGCTCCATCGTCGTAGACGATCCAGATCAATTCACAAAGCTCATCTTTGACGCCGTGAAATCAGTCGGCTGCCGTGCTCTTGTTTCAAAGGGCTGGGGTGGGTTTGGCTCCAATGCCGATTGTCCGGAAAATGTCTTCATGCTGGAGAACACACCTCACGATTGGCTTTTCCCAAAGTGCGCTGCTGTTGTGCATCACGGAGGTGCTGGAACAACCGCTATCGGTCTCAAGTGCGCTATACCGACAATGATTGTGCCCTTCTTTGGTGACCAGCCGTTCTGGGGTGCGATGGTCAGCAAAGCAAAGGCCGGAGCTCACGATTGTATACCATACAAAAAGCTTAGCGCTGAACGGCTAGCAGAGGGCATCAAGCAATGTCTGACTGATGAAGCTAAAGAGAATGTGAAGAAGATCGCCGAAAGCATCGAGAAGGAAGGCGATGGTGCGCTTAATGCTGTACGCTCCTTTCACAGATCACTGCCTCTACATGGAGAGGGCAGCATGCGTTGCGACTTCCTCGATAACCGTGCTGCGGTGTGGAAGATCAAGAACACGGACATCAAGCTTTCCGCCCTCGCAGCTGAAATACTTGTCGAGAAGAGGAAGCTCAAATGGAGCGACCTGCGACTCGTTCGACACTACGAATGGAATGACTTTGGCGGACCGGGAGAGCCTATCACAGGTGTCTGGGGCAGCTTGATGACATCGTTTTCTGATGCTGCAGCAGGTGTAGGTGGTATGCCTGTAGAGATGGGGAAGAGTATCAGGAAACGGGAGAAGCTAAGAGAGAAGAAGCGCAGACATCAACAGCGTCACGAGCAGAAAAAGGCCGCATTAGTAAAGGCAAATGCAAACACGCCAGATGGAGCTCAAAGCACGGACCAGAAGCAGGACAACCAAGATGCAGGTCGACCACAAGCAAATCGCAACGAATCAATGCTTTCCAAAATCACGGAACCAGACGAAGAATTGGCCGACGAGCTTAGCCGCGAAGCTGCATTTGGCTTCAGGAAGACGGGACACGCTATTGCCAGATTTCCTATGGACTTGACACTTGCTATCACACAGGGCTTCCACAACGCTCCGCGTCTGTACGGAGATGAAACGGTGCGCCGTCCACCTCGAGTGACTGGTTTCCACTCTGGCACTCGTGCTGGTCGCGACGAGCTTGTTTATGGTGTCATGGATGGCGTTTCGGGTCTTGTCACCCAGCCTTACAATGGCGCGAAGAAGAACGGTGTCATGGGCGCGATGCGAGGCGTGGGCTTTGGCATTGGCGGCTTCGTACTCAAGGATATCGCAGCCCTTCTTGGCCCTTTGGCATACACAATGAAGGGCCTTGACGCAGAATACATGAAACGATACCAACCTACTAATTATTTACGCCGTGCCCGCATTGCTGAAGGACAAAAAGAGCTCTCGATGCTGGAATCGAAATCTCAGGTTTCGGCCATTCAAGAAGCTCAAAAAGGAGCTAAGCGAACCTCTGAGAAGAAGGAATCTGTAGAGGAGAATGTCACCATCCGTTGGAAGGCTCTACAGAAGACGATTGCTGAAGAAAAGAAGCAGCACAAGAACGGCATCATTGGGTCACTCACTGGCCGAGGTGACCATAAAGAAGGCCAAAGAGTCGGGCGCAAGAGCACAGAAGTTGCAAAGAAAGACGGGAGGCGGTCGTACTCCAAAGGAAGACCAAACACTCATACACCCAACGACAAGCCAGGCAGAGTCTCTCCAGAGGACCAGGCCAAGGTCGTGGATCCTGGAAACGCACGGAGAAGTGTAGACGGAAATGCGAGAGGTGGGGGTATGCATAGGATGAGTACTGCTCCTACTACTTCGCTGGAGCATAGTGAGCATGTCGAAAGAAAGGAACTCCAGCTTCCACCTAAACGCCAAGTGGCTGCTGATGCTGCGCTACAGGAGGATGATTCGAATCCGCTTAGCGCGACCCGTCTTAATGACGGTGTAAAGGACAAGTCAGACCCTGAGCTTGTCAGTCCAGTTAACGAGGCTAAAGATCTGGTATCTGCAGATTCGAAGGACGCATTGGATGCTCCAGAACGTCCTTCCGCAGATGGGTCCGAGGAAACCAGGGTTGGTATTGATCCCACCGACTGGGCCGCTGTGAGGCAGAAGACTGAGGTACTGAACCTGAGCGATGAGCCACCCAAAGTGGCTGGTATATGAGATACGAAGGTTTTGCATCGCATCATACATAGCGTGGCGTTGTTGGTCTCAGTCATCAAGTGCTATTGACTTATCCCTTGTCTCTTTTCCCATTCGATTGACTAGTTTTACGGTATAGGTTGTAATAATCAAGATACCCATGTTTGTTTACCTGAAGTACGACTACGTTACCCCTTCTCCTCCTTTCCATCCGCATTGTGTTACTTCTTGTCTTTGCTTTCAAACGCCACATACTCTGGTAACTTGAACCCATCATCCCTACTTTCTGCGTCCCCCAACCATCGGCCGACCCATTCCCACCTTACTACCCTGGATACCATTGTCAAGAATCCATGTAACACCGTTCTCTTCCACGCCGAGTCTGGATGCATGAACCCCGGTATAAAAGGTGAAATTTCTTGACTCTGCTCAACAAACGGTCGAAATTTCGCTTCGTAACTCGCAAGCGCAGTCGCAAGAGCATTCACTGAAAGTGAAGTCGAAACAGAAGAAGAAAACGTAGTCATGCAGCTTAATTCTCCTGCCAGAATATACGCTCCTAGAACTGCGAGCGACGTTCCCATGCCTGTCAACGGACTGGGACAATATGCCGCATCTCCCAAACAGATTACACGATTGTGACTCCACCGTTGCATCTTGACTTGGTTGATGGCATGGAAGTAGAAGTCTGGTGCTGCGGCCACGTCACCAAGAAGTCTGTCGCAAATCCAACCCGCGTCTGCAAATTCTTTGCGAAGAAGTTCTTGTTGTAACTTTCTTCCCATTTTACTTGCTTCGGCCCACTGGGCCTTTTGGGCGGAGGTAGTTGGCATGAATGTGAACAACGCACGAAGTGTACCATGAGGGTCAGGACGTGTGGAAATAGTACGTGAGCCCTGTGCGACGAAAATGTTCCACCATGCCGTATCGGTTGTGAGTCGTGGTACGGTAAAATACACAGAGTACATGCCCTGATGACTAATTGTGACTTGTTGGGACGGGAAGATCAGACTGCGTGTCTTAGACCATTGGCCATCTGCTGCCACGAGAAGATCGTATGTGCGTACTGTGTTGTCGCTGAGGAGTACTTTTACGCTCCAAGAGTCATTCTGGAGGATTTCTGTGATTGTGGTATTGAAGAGATAGGTCACATTGGAATGGGACTGTGTTGCGTTGTACAAGATCTTTGCTAGATCGCCTCGCAGGATTTCGTACTCCGATGTTAGACTTGCTGAGCTTCCTTCTTTGATTGGGAAAGGCGCAAATGACTTTCCGTAGGAGTCGACAAACCGAGTGCCAAGCTCCTTGGTGTTGCAATGCTTAACTTCCGCCATCAGACCCATCTTTTTTATGCATGTTACTGCGCTGCCTGAAATGTCGACATTTTGCCCATACAGCAAAAGCGAGGGAGATTTCTCAAGGATAGTGATGGAGTTCTCGAGACTGTGGGAGATCCAGTAAGCCAGGGTCGGTCCGGCAATGCCTGAGCCTACAATCAGGATGTGCATGGTTGGGGTGGTTGTCTGGCCGAGGAGAAGTGTGGTAAATGTGAACGACGGTTCGGTGAGTAATGTTCTGCCATGATGACCCGACAGAATGATGTTTTATATACGACATTTTGTTTTCCCTTGTGACCGGATGCGTGGTCTCGGGCACATAAGAAGAAGGCTGATGAGGATTCGGGGTTGGCGTGCTTCGGGTTTCGTGTATTCGGGCGACGGCTCGGACGTTGAGCGTGGGATTTTGCGGGGCCAGGGCACTATTCCCGGTGAGGTGCCGCGTATCTACCATCTTCTAACATAGCCTCTACGCAAACTCCAGCAATCTTCTTCCTGTTGCCCGTACTTTGATTCAGTGGGTTACGACAGGCTCAAGTGCCAACTCCTGCCGCCAATGCTACTTTAAGAAGCCAAATCCAACAATGGCAACCACAGTTCCTCCCTCGGGCACACACAAAAGACCGACCTTCTCATGCATACGATGTGCTGAACGAAAAGGCAAGTCATCTTGTCGTGCATGCCGTGTATGGCATACGCGCTGACTTGTGTACACTTCTGTAGTCAAATGCGACCGACAGAAACCATGTGGTGCTTGCATCAAGCATAGCGTTGACTGCATCTTCAATCCAGTGCAACCGCCGAAGAAGAAGAAGAAGCGCGTCAAGGTTAATGTACTGACTGACCGACTGCGACAGTATGAAGCCCTTCTTCAAGAGCAAGGGATCGACGTCGGAAGGCTTCCAGATTGGACAAATGATGGATCGCAGCCTATGACACACACTGTGCCTGATCAACAACAGCAGCATGTCAGTCAATTGCGAACGCCTTCATCTCTCGAGTCTGGACCGTCTCCATACGCTATCCAAACACCAAATGTTCAAGGCCAGACATCTTTCAAGTTTGTCGAAAACACTCTATGGCATAGAGTGGTCGAAGAGGTGCGTGATAAGACCCTACAAAAACTCTTCCGGATCCTATTTTGCCCTCTAGATAGTAACCGGTGCTTAGTCTCTTGATCCGGAGAACGATTTGGAAGACTCGAGTGATATTAGTGAAGAAGAAGCGATATCCGATAACTCAGGATTTGCTCTCCTCAGACATACTCATACCGGCGGTAGGCCTCGCCATCCCTCGATAGACCGCATACATCAACTTTGGGACACATTTGTTAGCAACGTCGATCCACTGACGAAAGTGGTACATGTCCCTAGTCTGAGGCCAATGATTGAGAAAGCTGCGGATAGCTCTGGGGTCATACCACGGGCACTCGAAGCACTCATGTTTGCTATATATGGCTCCGCTGTCATGTCGTTAAGCCGAAACGAATGCGAGCAACGGTTCACTGAGCCCCGTGACCGTCTGCTTTCTCAATACATCTTCGCGACAGAAACGGCATTATCGCGAGCAAAGGTGATGGAAACTACCAGTATAGTTGTTCTCCAGGCTTTAGTTATACATCTCATTACAACCCGCGACATCTACACAGCACGCGCCAACTGGACCCTTACTGGTGCAGCTGTTCGCATCGCTCAAGGCATGGGTCTAGAGCGCGATGGAAAGTATCTAGGACTATCTCCCTTCGAAACCGAGATTCGCCGGCGTATATGGTATCAGTTGAAAACTCATGATTCTCGAGCTACGGAGTTGTGTGGCCTTTCGAAATACCGAGATCCTGATATCGGTCCCCACCGAGCTGAGTGGCCTCTCAATGTCAACGATGATCAGTTGTATCCCAGTATGACTGAACTACCCTTACAATCCGATCGACTGACGGACGCTGTTTTCATCGTGACAAGGTGTGAAATGGGAAAGTTCGCTGCCGCACGTATCGCAGCCCTTCGACAGGAAGGAAAAGACCTTAGCCAGATGAACCTCGACCATTCGGGAAAAGACAAAAAGGACCGCGAGAGTAAAATCCAAGAGCTCCAAGAGGCTATCGAAACGAAACATCTTCGTTACTGTGATCCCTCTCAGCCTTTGGACCTTGTTACGATGCTAGTTGCTCGATACGGCCTGAACGTAGCCCGGTTCTTGATGTATCATCCACGGAGCTGGGGTAGTATCGAGCAAACACCGCTTGAGGAACGCCAGAAGATATGGGAAGTTTGTCTTAAACTTCTCGAACAACAAGTGATGTTACAGACTAACCCCTTCACCCAACGGTTTGCATGGAACGCGCCCTGGTATCGGCAATGGCACGCTTTCATTCACGTATTAGACGTTCTCCGGGCCGATCCTGAAGTTTTTGATGTTGAACGGGCTTGGAGACTCATTGGTGAAACCTACGACAACAATCCAGATATGATTGAGGACATGAGAAAACCCGTTCATGCTGCTGTGGGCCATCTATGCTTGAAGGCATATGGCGATCGGGAGGCGCTACTTCGTTCAAGACATGTAGTCATATCGTCGGTACCCAGTTTTATAGCACGTCTACGTCACCAACGCGATTGTGCAAGACTGAGACGGCAGAAACGCGATGCGGATAGCAGTCATGTTGCTACCTCTACTGATACAGTCAAAAGTAATACGCGTCAGCTTTGCGGCAGTATTCCAGTTGATGACTCTGATCTCTTACTGGATTCGACACCCAATCCAACCCAAACGCCATCTGGTCATCCTCATACTGTCTTTGATGGTACCAATCCTTCCACGTTCTCCAACGACTTTGACGGTTCAGGTTTTGATATCATGGAGATGGATGGGTTAGACACCTTCTTAGCTGCGGACTATATCGTCGACGATATGGCATTGGACCCTATCGACTGGAGCAAATTAGATGACTGGCTTGCTCATGTCACTTGATGCAGGTAGCCAGCTATGTCTATACAGTGAGTTTGACCCAGGACTTCGGGTGAGATGAAACCAATTTTCGGATTCGATCTACACTTGAAGGATTCCGGCATAGTCTATATCGTCAATACACTCCACTAATACCAACAATCACCGACGGACGCTAGGATCGGAAGCCCTCAGTCGCGACACCGTGCTCCCTGAAAAGCTTTGAGCATGTTGTAAACAGCCGCGTCTTTTTTCTTCCACTCTTTGTCCTCCTCCATATCCTTCAAACCGCCGAGTTTGTATAGAACTCCTTCGTTTGTCGTGCTCGCTTCTTGGTTCTTGGTCCTGTCCCCGCAGGGTGCTTCGTATCGTGTTTGCGTGAGGACATGGACTTCAAGGGTAGCTCTCTCTACATCGCGGATAAACTGTGCTATCATCTGTCAGCTCTATCTGCATGTCGGAATCGGTGTGAAGTGTGTGAATACATGTAAGAGGAAAGGTGGTCTTACTCCATGGTATATCCAGCATTTTGGCCTCGATTCGAGCCTTGTGTCGTGCAATGGAGCGCTCTTGTGTCTCCCATGTCTTCAACGGATGCGCAAGTTTGTTAGCCACATCTGTCTTGGTAGGGTCGTCAAGAGATGGGGAATGCAAACGCTGTGTTACAGCGCGAGAGACAAGCTGTCGATACTGCACTTCCCTATCATCGTTTGTCGCGTTTCGTTGCGTCTTCGAGTAACCTTTGGTGTGAGCATTCGACGACTTGGATGATTGACGTTCTTGTAGTGTAATTTCCATGATACAGTATGTCGGGTCAGGTCAGAACATGGAGTTGCGCAAGTACAAAGAAGAGAAATCGACTAGCTACTGTCAAGGCATAGGCGTTCGTAGCAGGATACAGTTAACATGCTGTGTGTTCAACATTGAATGTACAACAAGACGGCCAAACGTGCTTGTCGGCCATGGCGCTTTCGCACTCGACGAGGTTCTTTCGCCCAATACATACATGCTCTTCACACCTTACAAACTCAATCCCTCAGCTAGTAGCGCACCATACCAGATCATAGCCCCCAAGCCCACCATATTGACCAAACTGCTAACGCCGTGCAAGATGCCAAACTGCTTGTTCAAGGCCTGCATCTCCTTGCTATGTGGCCCGGCATCATAGCTCTTCTTCCCATCCCTGGTTTCCTGATGTTTCCTCAGACCCATGACCTCGGTCGTCTTGGGCCCAATGTACACCCAGTTCAGCAGCGCCGTGAGGAACATGGTAGTATGTAGCCAGGAACTCAGATTGTCGGTTGCAGTCTGTGGCATGGGAGACGAAGAGAGGAACGGAAGCAGGGAGGGTGCACCACCACGCGGATAGGTGAGCAGCATCACAACGGGAGTAAGAGTTTGGAGCGTAAAGTATACAGGGAAAGTGTGCTTCTGAAGTGTGGAGAATTGGGGACGCGGGAGGACGCGGAAGGCTACGATGCCTGAGACGAAGGACTGGAAGAGGGTGGAGCCGAGGAGGGTGCCATAGCTATAGTTCTGTTATCAGACGTGCCTGGCTTTGAGCTTGCAAGGTGCAGTTGACATACCTGAGCAAATGGTACGTCGCCGGATTCTTGAACGACGAGAATGACATGGTAGCGGTTACGTGTTGTAGTCAGTCCTGTTGTCGGGAGCTGGCAGTATCTCAAACGAGCGCCACGAGCAGTAGCAGCCTCGGCAAATGATGATCTCACGACCTGTCTGACGACGCGTTGGGTCCCTGCATGGTACCCGCAAGCCATGCCACGTACAGCCTAGCACACATGCCCCGCTAAAGATTTCGCGAGCCCCTCCATAGCGCATCATTGCGTCGTGCGGCCCTCCATCACTTTCGGCTTGTCTCAACGAGCCCTCGGAATGTTACTGCCGTCGCTGATAAACCTCCGCCGCCCAAGCAACACGCCTCTCGAGCCAGAAGACATCTTTGGCTCCTCTCTCGGCGGCATCTTCACCGACGACACGCAAAACCAGCATGGCGACGATCCAAACACGGTCATCTTGTATCGCAACGCCAAGTTCGGGGAGCTAGAGTTGAGAGTGGCCGATGTCAATGGCGAGGAGCAGAGACGAAAGTTTGCGCATTACCTGTGGAACGCTGGCGTTATGATGGCAGAGCTGGTCAGTGGGCGTGTTGAGGGTGGAGACTTGGGCGCAAGTGGCAAGGGTCTGCTCCAAGATGAAGAGGGCTGGAGAGACGGCGAATGGTGGACGGACAAAGAAGAGGAGAAGAAGTGGAGTGTCAAGGGCGAGACGGTCTTGGAGTTGGGCGCAGGTGGGTTGGGCCGGAAAGATAGGTGAAGAAGAGAGTACTGATGGAACACTTGCTCGCAGGCGTAGGGCTAGGCGGCATTCTTAGTACACTGGCAGGCGCGAAAGAGGTATGCCCCTACCCAGACCACCCGCATCGTTGGACTAACAGCTTGATAGATTGTCATCACCGACTACCCGGCCGCTCCCATCCTCGATACCCTCCAAACCAACGTCGCCAAGAACGTCCCAGCGCTGTTGAAGCCCACTGTGACCGTCCAAGGCCATCAATGGGGCTCTACAAGCACTCCCTTTGAAACTTCACACGCACACCACTACACGCGCATCCTCGCAGCCGATTGTCTCTGGATGCCATGGGAGCACCAAAGCCTCGCCCAATCGATGCTGCATTTCCTCTCCAACGAACCATCTGCACGTATATACTGTATCGCAGGCTTTCACACGGGCCGCGCCAAAGTCGCGCCCTTCTTCGAACAAGTGGTGCCGGAGCAAGGGCTCGAGGTGGAGGAAATATACGAGATGGATGTGAACGGACAGCGGCGGTCGTGGGCCAAGGAGCGCGATGGTGGTTTGGAGAACATGGGCGAGCGGAAGAAGTGGCTCGTTTTCGCGCGGATACGGCGGGCTGTTCGACCGTGGCAGTAGTAACGGTAGGAACCTTTCCTCGCAGCAAAGAAGCGCGGAATCACGTCCTCTTGAAGCAGAGCGTAACAACACTACTGCCTGTCTTGCCTCCGAAGGTAAAGCTGGGGTACTTGACTTTTCCCTCAAACTCGAACTCTCCTCCTCCAAACCAGCCCTTGAGCTCCTCTTCTGTCCAATTACAGCTCGTTATGAGAAATCGGCCGCCCTTCTTCGTGAGGGGCTCGACCTTTTCCCTGTATCCCTCGCAGATCCTGCGACCTTGAGCGTCTTCCTCTTGTGACAAGCATATAGCGTCAAACGTTCCTTTGTCCAGTACAACGTCAAAGCCAGAGCCCAACCATGCGCCCGGTGGCTGTGACAGGATATCCCACTCATGAAACGCAATGTCCTTGTAAGAAGCATCTTTTGCATCCCGGATTGACGTCGCAAGCGTAACGCTCTGCGCAGAGTAATCAACCCCCACCATCTCGCCGTTCCACTCGTCTTCCCGCAGCGCAAACAGTAGATGTCCATTCCCTGTTCCCAAGTCTAAGAATCGTGCAGCTTTCTTGTCGCCCTCATCGCCTTCTTTGTGTACGTGGCCTTCATCGCCGAGATCCTCAAGAAAAGACAACATGCGCTCCTCGGCACCCGCGTCACTGAACCATATCGTTCCCTCGTCCTCGGCGTTCGCGGCGAAGTTTTGGCACTCGGTGCTATAGGCCGCGTCCCAATAGGATTTGGTTCCCAGCTCGCTGGGATCGAGGTGTGTAGGTGCAGTCATCGAGTGGGTATGCGGAGGGAAAAGAGCAGGTGTAGTCGCACAGGAGACCTGGTGCTGTTTTCTGGAGGGGCAGCTCTTTGGTTTCTGGCTAGATGCCCGCGCACCATGCAAGCGAGGCGGGCTGCGCTAAGAATGACAGGGTATAACAATTGAGTCGACCAGACATTTACAATCATCCTTCGCTACTGCGAATCATCTCACCACTAAATACCATCAACCCATTAAGGCAGTCGAGCCACAACATAGTAATCTCCTTTTTCTGGTAGACTCTTCCGGCCTAGTTCAGAACCTCACCACCTTCCAGTGTGCGAAGACGCTTGTTACCCATTTTAAGTTGTACAATTACTTACTTAGGAAATCAAAGAGTAGTATAGGCTTTCTGATGAAATTCTCGCATTCTCTTGTGCCAAGCTAGCATGGTTCATGCAACATCTAGCCGATTGTTGTACTCGTGAAGACCGTCGTGATCATCTGACAATCTTCACTGCGGTAGATCAGGCAGGGCAACAGATGGAAAAAGACAAGCTCGATTCCTTCCAGCACCATGCTACCGCCTCAGGATCTGGTGGCACTTTCCCTGGATATGGTCTCACTGTCTGGTGTGAGTCCCAACATCCTAGAACAATTTTTCTTTCAGCCGCTACCACTACATCAAGGAAAAATACTTAACATCTCTTAGGGCAGAGTGCTTCTTCCTACGCAAGGTTTTGAGAACACTCTCCTCTTCCAACGTTAGCGTTGAGCGCTAATGGCTTCGGTTGCAATCAATGAAGTTTCTAAATGAGTATATATACAGCTGCATACAGTGAAGCTAAGTAAGTGTTTGGGAACACACTTCTACTGCGATATCATACAGTGTAACTCAACAGCGTTGTGCCTGCGTCTTATCACCAGCACGTCCATCATATCATTACTACTTCTTCCTACTACAATAAAGCGTATCAGATCTATGTAGATATAAATAAGAAACCTAGAAGACTACAAAGCTGTAAATCTCTACAAATTTTCTTATTAGGAGATGATGTGGACTGTAACATGTACCTTATTCTTTCTGTATCTGTCTAGTTTTTTCCTTGTTTGAAGTGCATGCTTAGTGAAGTCAGCATCAATGTAGGTTGCCACTCCAGGTTCCACGTCGGTAAAGGGCGGCATATGAGCGGTTGCAAGGATTGTCCCACGATAGTTGGGCGGAAAGATGGTGGGCGTCTGTGGCAGCGCTTAATGAGTCAACGAGGGCCCATTTATGGCTCCATAAGCAGCATTGCCCAAGGTGACGGTAAAGTCGATGGAAGCAGTGGCTAGCAGCGGAACGTAAGAAATGGACACGGTGTTGTGCATGATCTGGATAGTACCATCGACGAGGCCACTAAAGACTCCGCTTGCAGTGGGGCTGGGTACAGATTATGATGGCAATCTCAGTACCCCGCCAAAAGTTTGCAGTGCGGCAAAGGTGACGCCGGGACTGTTTCAGCGCCATGACTGCATGCCGGGTCAGTCCCCAGGATAAGACAAATTGACCGTGAAGGTAACAATCGAACGTTGTACAAAAGCAAAAGCTGTAGCGCGTAGGTGACGCGGGTACAAAAAAAGGGCTGATGGACAAACAATGACGATGGTCCCAAAGACTCGCGTGAGGCAACTGCGGCTGTGGCAAGGCTATAGCAGGCGGTCAAGGCGGGTGGATGGGCTCCATGGCATGTGGGCCAATTAAAGGGACTCGTTTTGCCTCTCTCGCAGTTGAATTCGTTGCAAGTGAAGGAGTTTTCGTAGCCCAACGGGGAACTAGCGCCTAAAACTAGCACAGACCCACAGCCCTCCAGGTATATTAGCACCCGACCCCTCCATCACTCAACTTTTCTTCTCCGTCCAACTCATACCTTACACCGCGCGCTGTAAATCTGAGTATCAAACAACTTCCCCTCACCACCACATAAACTCAAACAACACAACACCGCCAACATGGGGTAAGTGACTCTGCCTGCCCTCCGCCTCGAACCAATGGAGCCTCGACATTTGCCCACTGGAAGAGCTCGAGGCTGCCACCACCACCCTTGGCACACCTCGCTAACAATGGCTGCAGTAAGGAGAAGATGCACATCAACGTGGTCGTTATCGGCCACGTCGATTCCGGAAAGTCCACCACCACCGGCCGTAAGCCCTCCCTCTCCGAACGACTGCGGGGTCAAACAACTTACACTGGGATACAGACTTGATCTACAAGTGCGGTGGTATCGACAAGCGTACCATCGAGAAGTTCGAGAAGGTATGGCATCACTTTTCTTTCACGCGGCCTGTTGCGCCCACCCGGTGCTTTCTCTGAGCGCGTAGCCAAAGCCTGGCTTATCGCGATGAGGGGCATTTTTGGGTGGTGGGGATGTGCGAACTTTTACGCGCTAGCGCTAGTCCGCATGCGGCCTTCGCGAACTCCAACGCCATGACGCACATGTAATTTCCCCATTCTGGCCACAGCGAGCTAACAAGTCTCACAGGAAGCCGCCGAACTCGGTAAGGGTTCCTTCAAGTACGCATGGGTCCTCGACAAGTTGAAGGCCGAGCGTGAGCGTGGTATCACCATCGACATTGCTCTCTGGAAGTTCGAGACTCCCAAGGTTAGTACCCTCTGCCTACTACATCAAGTTCTTTACAATGCTAACATGCTGTACTCAGTACTATGTCACCGTTATCGACGCCCCCGGTCACCGTGATTTCATCAAGAACATGATCACTGGTACCTCCCAGGCCGACTGCGCTATTCTCATCATTGCCGCCGGTACTGGTGAGTTCGAGGCTGGTATCTCCAAGGATGGCCAGACTCGTGAGCACGCCCTCCTCGCTTACACCCTCGGTGTCAAGCAGCTCATCGTTGCCATCAACAAGATGGACACCACCAAGTGGTCCGAGGAGCGTTACCAGGAGATCATCAAGGAGACCTCCAACTTCATCAAGAAGGTCGGCTACAACCCCAAGCACGTTCCCTTCGTCCCCATCTCCGGTTTCAACGGTGACAACATGATTGAGGCCTCTACCAACTGCCCCTGGTACAAGGGTTGGGAGAAGGAGACCAAGGCCAAGGCCACTGGTAAGACCCTCCTCGAGGCCATCGATGCCATCGACCCTCCCACTCGTCCCACCGACAAGCCCCTCCGTCTTCCCCTCCAGGATGTTTACAAGATTGGTGGTATTGGCACGGTGCCCGTCGGTCGTGTCGAGACCGGTATCATCAAGGCCGGTATGGTCGTCACCTTCGCCCCCGCTGGTGTCACCACTGAAGTCAAGTCCGTCGAGATGCACCACGAGCAGCTCACCGAGGGTGTCCCCGGTGACAACGTCGGCTTCAACGTCAAGAACGTCTCCGTCAAGGAGATCCGTCGTGGTAACGTTGCCGGTGACTCCAAGAACGACCCCCCCAAGGGTGCCGAGTCCTTCAACGCCCAGGTCATCGTCCTCAACCACCCTGGTCAGGTCGGTGCTGGTTACGCCCCAGTCCTCGACTGCCACACCGCCCACATTGCTTGCAAGTTCTCTGAGCTCCTCGAGAAGATTGACCGCCGTACCGGAAAGTCTGTTGAGAACTCTCCCAAGTTCATCAAGTCCGGTGACGCCGCCATCGTCAAGATGGTTCCCTCCAAGCCCATGTGCGTTGAGGCTTTCACTGACTACCCTCCTCTCGGTCGTTTCGCTGTCCGTGACATGCGTCAGACCGTTGCCGTCGGTGTCATCAAGTCCGTCGCCAAGGCCGACAAGGCCGGCAAGGTCACCAAGGCCGCCCAGAAGGCTTCCAAGAAATAAGCGCTCTCTTCTTGGGTTGCTTGTTTCTCTTCTTTCGTCTCTAGATACCTGGTTCTGGGGATGTGGTTGCTTCGGAAAAGCTGTGATGACTTTTGAAACGTGTCATGCATAACGGTCTGGGGTCCTGGCGTCGTCCTTCCATAGTTTCCATAATGATATGAATGAAAACATGGGTGGGATATGAACAAAAACCTCTCCTCTGACATGCGTGACTGATTACTGTTGATGGTGTCTCTACTTCCTCGTGATGCCTATCACAGCGCTCTGTATGGTGTGCCTATCACCAGCAGTACTTTGGTCGTCGAGGTCTTATCAAAAATGGCGACAAATGTCTCACCATGCGTCGTGCTCTTGTGTGATGTCGGTCGCGCCGCTTGTACTTATACTACATCAAAGAGACAAATTAACATCCCTTTAGAGTAGAGTATCTCTTCTTGCTACAACAAAGCGCGCTGAGAGCTAATGTAAGCTGCAATGTAAAGCTTGTGATCTCTGTACCTGTTGAGTTTTCCTTTTATTGAAGTGTTGGATCCAGGAAGGCAACTAACTGTGCACGTCAGATCACTTCATGTGCTCAGCTCTAAGACGTTCACGGTTGTAATGCTGGTAAGATGCTTGTGCTACAAATTGAGGGTTTCCGGTTCGTCATTAAAGAGGGTCGGTTTTGGATTCCTTTGTTTGCGTGAAAGTTGCCAAGGTGCACTGCGAGCGTCCATTGCTGGGATATTCGTTACACCGAACAAGAATTAATCATGCTTCATTACGCTCATTCGGTATTGTATCAGATGTGAAGAAGCTGGCAATTGTTGTGGCTTTGGCTTCGAGACCGGCCCACTCTTTCGACTTTAGCGCTGGCGTGTACTCACCAACCACATGCACGTGCAGGCCAGCGCCGCTCTCCAACGTTACATTTTCATCCCTTTGTACGAGCAATGTCAGCGGATCTTTTCGCAGAATTTGGAGCCGACTCCCCCTCGGGTCAACAGCAGTCGCGGCCCGTCAACACGCAGGTGACTACCGCTCCACCTGCTCCGTCAGAATTCAGCTTCTTCAACAGCCTGACCAACACCCCAATCCCAGCATCATTGTCGCAGCAACCTCCGCCCGTGGACAACAATGAGAACTTTGTTTCCAGCTGCATTCAGGAATCCACAGCTGAAGACAACGACGACTGGGGTGATTTCGAGGGCGGCACATCTACGGAACCCGCTCCTGCCGCCAAGCAAGATCTGTTCGCATTCACATCGCCTCCGGTCCCCCAACCACCATCGAATGCCTGGACTGTGGGCTCAGTTACAAATGACGCTTTTGTATCCAAATCGCAATCGTCCTGCGAGCCGACACAGCAAACTTGGCAGCGAGCACCTATTGTGAAGGCCAAGAAGTCTGCAGACCCAAGCGTACTGTTCGATGCAGAGGATGATTTTGTTGATGATGACGACGATTTTGGCGATTTTGAGGGCGAACAGGAACATAAAGCGCCTTCTACAGCACCTGTTGCATCGTCCTCAGCACTTGTGGACCTGTTAGGGGATATGAGCATATCACAGTCTCGACCACCTGTCTCGAGGGGTGTAAATACTGTCAACGCAAGTCAGATTTTCGAGGACCAAATGGCCACGAGTAAGAAATCTAAGATCGGATTCGGTGCTTCTACTAGACCAGAACGACCGGTCCCAAAACCTGCACCACCAGCACAGAAAGAAGATGACGGATGGGATGAATTCGATGATTGGGAGGCTTCTATTCCTACGAAAGCACCAAGCAAATCCGGAACCATGCAGTCGACCACGAGTGCTGCATTACCCACTACACCAGCTCCAATACTTTCCCCTACAATACCAGATCCACAGCCCAGTGAACTACCTCCTACTAACGTGCCGCCGCCCGGTATGTTGTTATCGCTTTTCCCTTCTCTATTTGCGGAAGCAAATGAGAAGTTGTTCAAGCCCATGACAGCGCAACCCCTACCCATGAGAAATAAGTTACTGGCCGAGCCCACAACAATCGCATACCTTCAAGGCTACATAATCCTTGGGAATGTTGCGGCACACATCATAGCTGGCCGTAAATTGCGCTGGAAGCGAGACCAACACCTGTCCCAAGGCATGCGAATAGGCCCTGCGTCATCACGAGCAACTTCCGGGATGAAGTTGACAGGTATCGACAAGGGCGAGAACATGAAGGAAGAGCGAGAGGTCTCAGATGTGGTGAGAAGTTGGAAAGAGCAGGTTGGGCGACTGCGACACGTCGTATCCGGAGCAAATCAGATCAAAGCTGGTTCTTTGGATCGTGGGCCAGACTTGCAAGAGACAATGCCGGTAAAGACATTGAAGCAGTCTGAAGGCGGCATACCAGCGCGCCAAGCTTGTATGCTATGCGGGCTCAAACGGGAGGAAAGAGTGACGGCAGCCGATATGGCGACAGACGACAGCTTTGGCGAGTGGTGGATAGACCAGGTCAACATGCATCGAGGTATGCTTATCAGGACGCTATGATGAAGGCGATTGCTGACTGTAGAATTAGGCTGCAGGAATTTCTGGAACCAGCACAAAGACACTCTTCGACAACACTGATGGCTCGAAGCCTCCCCAGATGTCCAGATTTGGTGCATAGGTCGGCACACGGCATGCGCAGGAGCCATGTTCAACCAATGGCATTTTCCGGGGTATGCGGAGCTAATCACGGTGGTCGCAACATGCACGATTTTCTGCATGACGAGCAGAGAATTCAAATGCCTCCATTGAGCGTCTGACATCTGTTACTTGCATACTCACAGTACATAGTGGTGCTGGAGGAACAGCGGTATACCAGATGCCCATGGACATAGTATGACGACATGGACATCGGTTAGATTGGCGGGACGTTCACCCTGCTCGCCAGATGATGGATGGCGCGGCAGAGCAGCACATGTCAGAGCAAAGGCTAGCGGAGGCTTGCCGGACGGACGAAGCCAAGGCCGGGTGCGGACGCTGGTGCGACACAAGTGGATGCTCAGCCAGAAGCAGCGTTTGTCCCAGGCATGGTACGCATCTTTACTTTATTGTGCAACCTCGCCGTCTAGCGTGTTATGATGTAGGACTCTGGTGGTGTCCCGGCCCAGGCGGTCTGGTAGATCTGATCTGATAGCGTCGACGGCGGGTGGATCGTCTGTGCTTGTCGCGGGGCCAGCGTGGACGCAATGCAAATAACGCCGTTGGCGTCTCAAGTCGCATAGTGCCCGCGACGTAACTACATGCCATTCACTGAGCACGCCTACTGCCCATCTCTTGCGTCTGGTCTGCCCCACGCATCGCATCGCATCTCTTACTGAACAGCCGTTTCCGTTGCAGGTGATATCCGACTCCAACCCTCAGCAACCCTGCAGCCCCCACCAAAGCCTTTGCACCACCCGCCCGCGCATCATCCAGCCGTACCCCAGAAGCGATACAGCCACCCCAAACGCGACACACGGGTCAGTACACATCAAGCTGTGTACCTGTAGACCAAGGGCTAGTCATCTCGTCATTGTTCGCTGCTTCTGATCTTACCGAGCCGAGACGATTGCCCAAGCCTGGGAACAGGCGCTCGTACGCCTCAGGGAATGAGCAGGCCAAATGATCATGGTACGTCAAATGACCCTCCGCCTCACGTCGTGACGCCCACGATTGCCTCGACGGCTTGTGTCACCGAGAGCCCATGGTGAGCTTTGTAAGCTTGACCGCCCACAACATTGCGAGACATGTATGCTCTGGGAGAGGAGCTGGACCGAGCCACTGCACTCACCTGGACTACGGTACACAATAGATACCCGACCCCAATACTTACAACTTGCTCTGTACCGCTGCCACTACGTCGCTCGCCACTAGCCATTGCATACTCGTGCTCCATATGGGCCTGTTAGCTGACGTGCTCACCCCACCAGGCTCTCTACCGGAAGAAGCACCCTTCAACTCCTTCGCACAGTCACAGCACCTCTCCGAATATGCCCCGCTGGTCAAGACGAAAAGCACCTCGAGCCTGCTGAACTGGCGAACGGGGCCGCCGCCACCCATCGACACGGCCAAGCGCCTGAGCATCGATGCAGGGCAGCTGGACCGCATGGCAAGGTGAGTGCAACGTCGAGATGGGCGGCCGTGCAAGGACGCTGGCCAGGAAGGAGCACTCTTCGTGTTGGGGGTCATGGCTGACACACATTGCACCAGGTCGCCCATCGTGTCCGAGCATGAACACGGTCTGGGATCCTCAGGCCTCCGTCGCATCCGGCAACAGCCAGGCCCGAGACAGCTGCAGTCGACCCAACGAGCTGCTTCGCTGAACATTTCCACGCCGCCAGTATCGAGACATCCTTCCGAGTCTGCGCCCACCGCCCCCGCATCACCAACCTTTGCTTTTGGTGAGGATCTCACTCGCTTTCCCTCCGAGTCTCTACATTCGTTTTCTTTTGCGACGCAATCAGAAGAGTTTATACACAACCGCCAGAATGTGCTGAAGCGGTCCATCGAGTTTATGCGCGACAGGCTGGGCTGGGCCGCGACAAATCCTGGAATAGCTAACGCCCAGGCAAAACTCAGCGGCGATCAGGAGGTGCAGAGTATGATGGAGCTGCTTACAAGAGCAAACCTCATAGGCCAAGACGGCACGGGAGCTCATGGACTGGGTGCGCTAGGTCCCGTAACAGGGCCGGCGGACATGTCTGGCGAGAACCCATTCGAGAAGGGTTTCACAATTGATCGATCAGCGAGCCCCGAGAGCATGCTTGAGGCTGCGAGACCACCAGTACACAGAGTGACTACGACCGATGTCATCGACACCAGCAGTACACCAGAAGCTCGTCAAGAAGGAGTCTCACCAAGCACCGAAATCGCCCCCAGCGCGTTGAGCACACGAGCAGCGGCAGCTTCTCCGCCTCCACCACCTTCGCAACCTGCACGCCCCCAAAGAGCTGCGCTCAAACGAACTCTGACCGATGTTGCGCCTCTTACGATCCAGAGCCAACTCCACGATGCATTGGCGCAGCCATACCGGGTGGGAGACCAAGAGAAGATCAGCGACCTCGTATCACCTACCATTATCCCAACTCTGCCGCCGAGCTTTAGCAATGCACCAGGGCCTCATTCCGCGGGATCAGCACCACATGGACATGGAAGCCGACACGCTCCAGCAGCACAAGCCATCTTCACCACCGAAACAGATACGCCATGGACCATTACATCTGCAAACGACTTGGCATGCCTTGTATTCGGTGTGACGAGGGCTGAGGTTCGCAAGCTGGGGATACTGGAAGTCGTGCGAGAAGACCGTAGAAAGTGGCTCGAAAGCAAGCTCAGAGATCCCGAGGTTGGCTCTAAGAACGCACTGTCCGGAGCATCTCCTGCAACTAACAACTTGAAAGTCGGCAGCGGCGTCACTGCACGGTTACTGAGCAAGGCTCCATCGCGCGTGATAGCCGCGAGGAAAGCACAGACAGACGATGGCAGTGGATCCTCGTACTATAATGCGAAGAAGACAGGCAAGCTGAATCATGAACATAAGGGCTCAAGAGGTGTTTTACTTTGTGGAGATGTCATTCCGATTCAGAAGCGTAATGGCTCAACTGGTTCTGCCAGCTTGTGGGTCAAAGAGAAGCGGGGTAGTCTCATCTGGGTGCTTGAAGAGATTGCTGAAGATGTCGTATATATCACGGTCGACGATGTAGGCTGCGTATCCAAGGGCTGGGGCGCAACAGAAGCTGTCTTTGGAAGCGATCGGTTACGGAGGGGAATGGATCTCAAGCGACTCATACCAGGCATACCACGACTCCGGGGAACAAACACTGGGGCGCTAGACTACGAGTCGATCGACGAGTTTCGCAGCTACACCGCGCGGACTTCAAACAGCATCAATATACCAGTGACCGTGGAGGCGATGCCAGGCGAACCCACTTTCCGCATCTCTAGTTTCCCACACATCGCGGGCATCATCGTTCTATCTTCCGACGATCTCAAAATCACAAGCTCCAATTCCGTCTTTTCATCAGCTCTGTTCGGACAACCACGACCCGAAGGTATTCACGTGAGCAAGCTCATACCCGCATTTGACAAGATACTGCATGTCATGACCGATGAAGATAAGATCGAGCTGGTTGACGGAATAGTCATCCCCGAACACAGCTTCCGCCGTGCCCGTGCCCTGCTCGCAATGCGGGAGGGTAGTGCAGATGCGGCAGCCATCTTCCTGCGACCAAGCGGATTGCCAGCTCTACATCGTGACGGCTCGGAAATCATGGTCGATGTGCAGATGCGAGTAGTGAAGAGCGAAAAGTCTCCTCGATTCGATGAGAATGTCATTGAAGAGGAAGATGGATCGTCCAAACCTACCAAGGGTCCAGAGCTGGTCTACGCTCTGTGGATAACATACTCCAGGCAGCTGCATGCTGCAAACCATGGTATTGGTCCTGTGACTCCTCTTATGTCGCGGCCACCTTCACCGCGCCAACCTGAACCAGGGCAGTCAAACTTCTCGGTACCCCAAGAACCTGAATCGCACCAGTCGCAAGGAACGCCACCTGCAGTATCACTCCTCACTCAGCAAATACAGGAAGCTATGCGACCTAACACTCCGCAAGAAACCCAAACAAAAGCTATGGCACCGCCACCGGTCCCTGTGCAGGAAGAGCCACCCAAGAAGAAGACTATCAACGACTTTGTAGTGTTAGAAGATATGGGCCAAGGCGCGTATGGGCAAGTTAAGCTCTGTCGGTACAAAAAGGTCAGTAGCAAGAAAGTCGTGATCAAGTATGTCACAAAGCGGCGGATTTTAGTCGACACATGGACTCGAGACCGAAGGCTAGGAACTGTGCCGCTCGAGATTCATGTGCTAGACTATCTCCGTCGCGACGGCTTCAAGCATCCCAATATCGTAGAGATGGCCGATTTCTTTGAAGACGACATCAACTATTACATTGAGATGATACCACACGGGCTGCCGGGTATGGATCTATTCGACTATATTGAGCTGCGGGTCAACATGGAAGAGAAAGAGTGCCGTAAGATCTTTGTCCAAGTAGCAGAAGCAGTGCACCATCTGCATACGAAAGCGAAGGTCGTACACCGGGACATCAAAGACGAGAACGTTGTCCTCGATGGTGAAGGCAACATCAAGCTCATTGACTTCGGAAGCGCAGCATATATCAAGAGTGGGCCGTTTGACGTCTTTGTCGGCACTATTGGTACGTCTCTCTTCCGCTTCTCCGTCTGCGGTAATCGTACTAACAACCTCCAGACTACGCCGCCCCCGAAGTCCTAGCTGGAAAAGCTTATCGCGGTAAAGAACAAGATGTCTGGGCGCTCGGCATACTCCTCTACACCATCATCTACAAAGAAAACCCGTTCTACTCTATCGACGAAATCATGGATCACGATCTACGCGTACCATGGGTCATGTCGGAAGAGAGCATCGATCTTGTGCGGTTGATGCTAGATCGAGACGTGGAAAAGAGGATTACGATCAGTATGGTACTTGAACATCCTTGGTGTAAGGGTGCTGGTGCGGGTGCTGGTAGTGGGGTTGCTGGGGAAACCGCCTAAGGCTGGAGGCGATGAGGGACGAACATCTAGAACGACTTTACGATCACTTGCATACGAATGGAATGGGACGGGGTGGTGCTGTCGGAATAGGGATTGGCGTGCTTTTTTAAAACGCTTCTCCTCTTTTTCCCGATTTACACACATTGTTCGCAAAACTGCGTTATATGCATTACGGCATTGTTTGGTAGGGCGAGATGGAAAAAATGAATACCCATTATTTTTGTTTCTTATTGATACCCTGTATATCATCGTTCATGGGCCCAAGCTCGAACCTAAGCAATTTTTGCCATAGCGATGAGCATGACAGGCTTGCTAGCGCATACTTCGGAGAGGTTGGTCAGTCCCTCGGAATGACGTACGGTACCAGTAATTGTCAACACGAACGAGTCTTGCTCGTGCTTGCGTCTTGCTGGTTCAATAGTAGTCCCAAAGTTCTTCGCATTAATTACGAGCGACTCACACCGCCTGTCAGTATATTTTCGAACGCGCACCGCCATTCAGTGCCAGCGCCACATACTGAATTTAACGTGGTAATATCATGCTCTGGCCCCCAATCTCGCCGAACGCGATAGTCCATGCACCTCAGCCTCAGGTGTGGCTGAGGTCACTAGCATGGCCTTCATGCAGCGCAGAAGACAGCCGTCAAACCAATGGCGAAGCAGCGCCACCGTTGTGCCGCATGTTAGGCGTCCAGGATAGCCACAAACACCCTGTATCTCAGAATAGATTGAACGGGTGTCTTCGCGCGTCGTCGTGAGATGTGCCTCGTTATTTGTACTCGCGGTCCTTTGTCTATGTACTGTCAAAAATATCGCATTACAAACAGAGCGTCTAAACACCGATTTATACATTTAGACAATACCGTTGACGCCTTGTCACAATGTTCTCTCCGACATCAAAAAGTAAAACTGCCAGTATATGGTCTTTTGACTCGGGCTACGGCTCTGCCACTTTGGAAGATGCCGAAGGAGTCTCTGTACTACCTCATTCATAGTCCCATGTAACACGCGGCCGCTAATTTTGTTCAGGTCAACCAAACAGGAAGCTCTTCAATCCATAGAACAGTCTCTCTGATCGAGAAAGAACCTGTAAATCTAGATTTACGCGACTCTTTCAGCCTTGTAGAAGAAAGGACTCGCGCAAGAGTAATTACCGATTCGACTGAGCCCCAGGACACCAGACTCGATGTGTTTACATCCAAGGTTTGCTCGAGCAATGCATCGCTGTTCGCGACACCAAACAGCGACCATGATTGCCTCCGATGTCAGCTCTGGAACATAACAAATCCTGGGGAGGATCTTAGATGCGAAGACTGCCTCAGTGAAGCTTCTGCATCATCTACGACTATTGCTCGGGTTCCTGGACAGTCGGAAACTAATCTTGTAGCAAATCGACTAGACACAGTCGAGGAACCTCCTTCGCAATTTCTCCCACGGTCTAAGGGCACCACGCGGTGCTCTGCGTGTGAGATGTATGCACTTGTCCACCTGGGCCAGTCTACCGATTGTACTTCATGCACACCGGATACAGGAGTATCATTCCAACCTCGAGTGAGCAAGCCATCAGAAGTCAGGCGTTCGTGCGCCCGACGACCACCTACCAAACTCGAGTCGCATGCTACGCGGTGTCTGCACCGGTGGCTAAAGGAGAACCGAAACAACCCGTATCCGGACAACGATACCAAGCGTTTGTTAGCCACAAAATGTGGAATCACTGAGAAACAAGTCAATACTTGGTTTACTAACGCGAGGGCACGAAGAAGGGTAATCGATACGAGTTTGTCAAATCCGGCCTCGGAAGACGAGGGTTCGCGAGAAACCAGACTTTCGAGCGTAACATCGACTACAATGTCAAACGAAGCATCTTTTCATCATCACGGTCCTATTGTAGCCTATTGTCCAGCCGAAGATTCCAACCAGACCGGTATAGTCACGTCTAGACGAGGCAAGAAAAAAGACTATGGCCAGTCTAGCAGCATTCGGCTTGCAGCGCACCAGGGATCGGTGGCCCAATCTGCATCACTGTTGGCATCCAAAAACAACGATGATGGCGAGAAGCAGACCTGGCAATGCACTTTTTGTTACCAGCATATCGCACGTAAGTCCTGGCGGCGCCATGAGGAAACACAACATCGTCCCAAACGGAAGTGGACATGCTTGCTTTCTGGGCCCAGGATTACACTTCCCTCGCCGTCTGATAATGTCACACTCTGTGCCTTCTGTATGATATCAAGTCCTAGCGATCTGCACTTTGCACAATGCCACCGCATAGCTGAATGTATAATCAAGGGCGAAGACGAAAGAACATTCTTGCGACCGGATCACCTACGTCAGCACGTCAGGAACTTCCACAAAGCGAAACTGAATGAGACCATCCGCGATCTTTGGAGACGAGAAGGACCAGGCAACAACGCTGTGGAGAATTGGGTTTGCGGTTTCTGCGAAAAGGTGCTGAAGACGTGGGAAGATCGAGAGACACATATCGCAGGCCATTTCAAGGATGGTCTGACAATGGCGAACTGGAAGGGATACATGCGACAGGATTTTGAAGTTGAAGCAAGAAAGAAGAGGCCGACCTCGAGTGAAGGGAGACCTAATATGCTCTCAAAGATAGCTCGGACACTTACTGGTCGGCCAGTACACCAACAGCATCACTGTGAGTCACATGGCCAGAACACTGACAATCTCGTTGCCACACCAATATCCATGGACACGGCCGGTCGAAATCTGTGTTTGTTACCAGAGCTGATCTTTGACAACTTCATGCTGGGAGCAGGTGATGATTACTTCGACTCCAACATTTCGGACTTTACTAGTGCGTACGAGCAAGACGCTGTTTCTGCTAGACGTCGCGACTCAGCATTTCCCGGTGAGGGTGACCCCGGATTTGGGTTTGATAATCTGGCGGAGGATACCACTAGCGAAGACTTCTCGAATTTCGACACGTTTGGGCTTTGGTATCAGTAACTAGAGATATATCCGTCATTAACAGCCTTCCAAATTACAATTCCAAGGACAAAAACTGCTTCAAGAGTCTCAGATGTGAAGGATGACAGATTCGCCATACGGGTACCATGAGAGAAAATACCAGAGTCTCAAAGAGGACACTGATGTGTGGACCTGAAAGCATAGCAATGCTCGGTGCCAAAAAGACGCGCGAGTCGACACCAAAACTAAGAGAAAAGGTCATCGTTTAAATTCAAACACTTCTTTTCGTTGATGTAGTAGCGTAACACGTGTTCTTAGTCAAACTGAAATACACCGTTTTCAGTGGCGCTTTGCATTGTATTTCGTATGACCAAAACTGCTGTGTGGGATCGCGATCGCAAAGATATTACGAAGTCCTGCTAAGGCTGGTTGTTGCCCTCCTATCAATATCATAGTACTGTATCCCCAAAGATGTTTTCTGATCATTACGGCTAGTCCTCCCATACATCGTTCAATAGCCACTTCTGACCTTCCCATTGCTCCTTCACAACTGGCCAGATCTGATCGGGTGGTAGCACGAACCCACCACCAGCCTGATCTTGAGGGCTTAGCTCCATCGTCCACGAGTGATTCGCGCCGTGGACAGCATAGTGGTGATCTCTCGAGTTACCCGTCGAGAAGTAAAGGATCTGGCAACCAGGACCAAACTCATAAGTACTGTTCTTTGTGCTAGCAGCCATGATCGCATTTGCTGTGCCGCCAGCAACTTCGAGCATGCGAGGAAGGGTTTCTGGCAACGGATCGCACGAGAAGCCATAGGGAGTCAGAATGAGCTGACCGTATGAGTGGAAGTCGATGAAAGAACGAATTCCGGCACCTGTTCCCGATAGCTTAGCTGAAAGACCATCCATTGCTTCGTTCTCCGGTGTGTCGCCCGGTGATTCTCCACGGTACGTCTGGCCACAAGGATCAGGTGTAGATCCACCTTCTGGCGGCTCCGCATCCCACTCATACTTCCAGTTGCGGTTGCCGTCAGTCCCAAGGCAGGTGGTGTTGAGATTCGGACGTGGCTGACGGTTCTTCCGCCAGAGTCGGTCATTCGTTTGTGTGTAGAGAAAGCCATCGGGATTGTGGAAAGGCACGACGTAGAAATCGTAATAGTCTAAGAAGGCGGTCACATTGGCATCGCCTTTCTTGTAGCCGTCAATTAGTTGATATGCCAAGTACTCAATTACTGTAATAGTCAGCTGTTATTCCGTGGTGATCGCCATGTACATTCTTACCCATAGTCGATATCCATTCCCTTGCATGTACTGTAGCATGCCAGAGAATGACTGGCTTCTCTGCTTTGTGCTTTCTATGACTATCCTTTTCGTCTCCATAGAAATTGAAAGCATATATTGTTCGGTTCTCGTAGCTCTTTCCGATCGGGAACTTCTTCGAGTTTTTGGGAAATGCCTCAACAAGATCATCCCAGTATTGAAGATGGTCGGCATATGGATGATAGGTATCGAACCAGGAGAGATCTGGCAGTTCGCCACGCCTGTGCAAGTCCCGCTTGTACACTGCTTTCTTTTCCGTAGCACGTATATAATTGCCTAGATCGGAGTTGACGAGACGCGCTTTCAGGCCCAGGGCGTTGAAGGAGTCTACCTCTCCAGGCGGGACGGCGATGGAGAGGGTATCGCGAATGGGATGAGTGTGATACTTGGAAAACCGCATGCCAATATCACGAGCCTCTTCGACCGAAGATGGAGTAACCGAATAAACGTGGTAACCATCATACGTGACTTTGGCGCTACGAGTTGCAGAGCTGTCCCGAGACTGGAAGGGAGATGCTGCTGCCAACTGAGCGGCTAACAATAGTCTGGTCCACTTCATGATGAATAACGATTGACAATTCGGTGTCTGGTGTACCGGATGCTCTATATGATCTCTCTAGAGACATTATATACCCGCGGACTCATACCCAAACCACGCCATAACCTTATCATGCATCCGAAGCCAAGTGAATGATGATGCAACGATTGACTTCATCCCGCTGCCTCCCATGGAGATATTGCGACGGTTTTGCCGCTTGGTACATAACAAGTATGTGGAGTAACGTTCAACGGCCGGCCAAGAAGATGCCCAGACTTTGAGGTACCTTTGGACATCACCAGCTTCCTGATCAGGTCTCGCCGCCAAGAAGCACGACATGATAGATATGCATGTTCCCCTCAACCCGGGGTATAGTGATAGAATTGCAGATGATGCATGAGATTATTAGCGGCACTGCTATCATCGTATACGCTGAGTCGTAGTCAGGGTCCAGGGACCTGTGCCCTTCGGCTTTCCACCACCTATGGGCTGCACTTGGAACGATGGGGAGGCACGACGAGTCGCCTTGAGCAAACCTCGAGGGATGCGACGCGCTATCCTCTCGCGTAGCTTTTCTTCCTCGTTGAAACGTTTATCGCATTGAGGCTAGCAAGACGTAGAAAAATAATGACAAAAAAAAAAGACTTGGCGCCAATAACGTCCTCACGCAGCCAATACAGGAGCCAACGAGGCCAAAAAGAAAAGCAGCGCCCATGCTCATGGAAGGACAAAAAAAATGCTGTGACCTAACCAGGGGTCGCTACGTGATTGTTAGTGTCTGTGTTCGAACGAGCGACGATTTGAATATTTACTTACAACCTGGAATCTCTTGATATCGAACGAATCGTAGTCAAGCGCCTTGCCATTGGGCCATTAGGCCAGTTGTGCTTTTGTTGACAAACGGTTTATCAGTAGCATTAATATTCTATTTTGTTGTCAAGCGGAAAAGTGAGCGGCACGCTAGCACTGCGGGGTTGTTCTTGCGGTCCATCTGGACGTCACCAGCCCCACTATACCTCCTCCTCAATTCGACCCACCTATCCTAGGCATCAGTGTTCGCTGCCTCAGTGATGGCCGCCACTGAGCGAAGGGACCGCCCGTTAATGCAAAACATCAGCGCTGTGACCTAAGGGCCGCCCATTGAGTAGGAGCTTCACAAGCCTCATGTGCGGCCTTTTACTATAGAAAACAGACATTTCTACACCTTCACCAACACCACCAATAAATCCAACGATGCCGACAAGCAGTAATGAAATCTACACAGCACACTTCGATAGCAACCAATTCGTAGTTGGCGGTGGTGTCGCAATATTCCATCTTGCCACGAATCGAGTCGTGATATGCAGCTGCGTGTATCGCGGACAAAAGTTCTACTTCCTCCCTAAGGGACGGCGCGACGCTGGCGAAGAGAGCGGCACAGGTGCCGAAAGAGAAGGGTACGAAGAGGTGCGTCATATTCGCTTTCTCATCTGGAGACCAAACATACTAACGCTGTGAACAGTCTGGCTATCGCAACCGCCTTCTCCCTCTACCTACTGCTCACCGCCAACCGCAAGCCCACCCGCGTATCCATGCTTCTCCACAGACTGCCGAGCCAGTATACATGCAGCTCCTTCCTCTCGGTTCTCGGCAGTATATAATCTACTGGTACATTGCTGAGACACTTCCTCCAATTCTCGAAACCCTGCTTGAGACGGAAGCAGGCGCCGCGTACAAACCACCACCGCCATATCCTCAGAACCTTTCTTTACGAGAGAGAATCAAGGAAGAACCTGAAGGGTACGAGCCAAGACACCACGAGAATACAGGAGTAGATGAGCTGGAAGTAACGTATAAAAGTGAGTTGGTGAGTGTGGAGAAAGCGGTGGAAAAGTTAGGACGGGAAGGCAGTATGGGAAAAATCATGGCGGATGTGGTTAAGAAAGGGTGGGAGGGAATTCAACGGAGGCTCGAAATGGAAGACGCTGCTACGCACGAGAGTCCTGAAGCAGTTTGATGGCACATGGCTAGGGAGATGCCAGGCACTAAGCGTGGATCGCCTTTAAGAGACTTAGCTATATTCACTACTCTCTTTTATTAATAGAACCATGAGTATAGTCACGTAGGTTCTTCACGCTTGAGAAGAGTACAACAAGAGGGACGTCCACTCATTCATAGCCTGCTGACCTGGTGGCCCATGTCAGGTAAGATGTTCAACATCATGAACCAAGCAAACAGGAATGACCCTTGACTGTGAGGTCACTCATCAGTTGTACTAGTACCACGTGTCTTCGCTACCAACCTATACATTCTTCTACCCGGCCTAATATTGTTCGTCTAAGCACAGTAATATAACTAACCCCACATACTTCTGCACTCTTATCAGGAATAAATGAAGCAGCCCCACCAAGGACACGCGACAGGCTGTTCACGAAAACGTGGTAGCAAGGCAGCAACTGCGCGTGCCTGAGGCAGGTATCCAAACCTGCTTGTACCGGCTACTATATATTGCATTCCCCAACTGTGCACTCGTAAAGAAGAACTGACTTGCCGCAGTGCATGCATGATGAAGAAAACGGCTTTTTTTAATTTGTCGTACATCGCACATGGGTGGAGGCTTTCCACACGCGATGTCGGAAGGCGGTAGTGAATGTTCGTGTGATGCAAGTGTGCAAAGCTATAGGCATTCGCTAAGCCGGTCTTGCGGGTAATTGGGTTCAAGCGAAAGAACAGCTACCTTCGAGCTTGATTCTTCATTCTCATAATTCATGCGTCAATATTAGCCCGATGTCGTAAGAATGTTACCCGGGTATTGGTATGACATGGGCGTTTGGTAAAGACATGATTGATTATCCAAGGCGTGGCAGCCGGGTTGCCGTCGAATAACACTCTTATTCACTAATGTGTGAGCGCGGGATGTGCACGGATGGGGTACGTGGATATCGCAGATGATCGTATTCAAGAACGGTTCTAGATTCTTGACCTGGAGAGTCGATTGAGATCTAGACACGGGTGTTTATGGACCGCGTTATGCTTTGGTCTTGTGATAGCGGGTCCGTTATAATACGACCTGCGTGACGAATGAGTTTGGCTATCCGATCGAGTTACACCACTTCTTGAATATACGAGTCGATGCAACGTCCACCTTCAGGTAGGAGGTTAAGCTGTTCAGATGTAGAATCTCTCAAGAAACGTTGCACAATGTCTGTCCGGCGAATACGAGATGACGGCGCTGTACGTGCGTGGTTGCGGTAAGATACGATGAAGCAAAACACTACTCCGAATCTATAATCAGGATTCGCGTTATATGCTCGTCTGGAGACGTAGTCGTTTCTCGCGGAAGAAGTCGAACTGAGGGTTAGGCTTGGGTTCATCAGGCGGAGGCTGGTGCAGCTAAGCCGGCTCGAACTTGAGAGCTTTTGCCCTCGCGACCTGCACAATGAGTTGATTATCGCTTTGAAGAATCAAAGGCAATATCTCCCCGGTGAAGCGTTTGAATAGGATCGGGTTGGTGGAGTTGCTTTTGCCAATAGGTTTACCGGTTGGGAACCATACATACCGCATTATCACGTTGTGAACATACAAGCAATGTGCTACCAGAGCCCTATACAGACTTCAAGGACAATCGTCATATCCTTACGTCCAGCCGTAAGCCTTGCGTTGCGTTTAAGTCATGCACCAAGTTCAGCCGCCACCTAGTGTTCACGCGCCTTCGGATCTCCTCATATCGTCCGAACCTCAAATAGCAGCGAGTATTGGATGTCTGTCATACATCATAGGAGTACGCTACGACTCACGAATGTTGGCAAACTACAACCAGTTGTTGAGCAACAATGGGGCGCGTTGAAACAACCGCACCATTGTGCGTCTCAACGTGGTAGCACCTAGAAGCGCGCACAAGCAATGTAGAAAAGACGGTACATAACCGCCAGATGCCTAAAATCGATTGTCCCATCGAATGGCAGCGTCGAATAGGAATGTGTAGTGATGGCGTTATCAGAGACTTTGAAACAAGTGTCTGTTGTGTCTAAATTCGCCGGTTCGGCGGCCGCGCGTCCTAAACTCTTACAATAGTGTCAGTCAGCTTTGGGGTTATCAGGTTTCCACGGGCAAATATCGCCCAATCTGTTGAGGGCATCATTATTCTTGCCGTCTGGTTGCCGTTCATATACGTGTGCTTTCTGGAGCAGCTTCCTCAATTGCGGCAGCGTGCATAAGACGACATCGCGCTAGCCATACCGCTAATTTGGTTCGAAGAAGTAGCATACCGGTCGCAGCTTAATAGGACGCATGCTAGGAATATTGATGGAGGATTAAGTACTATTTGAATCAATCGTGAATTCTGTAGTGGTAGACGCCGATATGTACACACTCGAACGAAGTAGGACTCTTGAACGCCAGAGAAGCATCGCCATGCTCGTGAAAGGACCGTTGTGGTAACGTAGTAACATTGATAGTTAGCCATAAGCCATTCTTGGCTAGGCACGCTCGACCACATGTATGTTTTGTCTTCGTGCCTGTTCCACAGGATAAGATACAATGAGTGTAAAAAGAGACCAGATCAAGAGATGACGCGGTAGAGAAACGAAATGTAATGTGTACAGCGAAGTAGATGCAAGCATGTCCTCATTAGATCCAACGGTGGTCCCTTCCAAACATGATAGATTGCAAGGCTAGAGATCAATGGACGAGAGGGTATACCGATATGACGAGACCAAAGATGAAACAGAGCAGGGATACGTTTACCACGAGAAAGACTCCTCGCGGAAGTCGACGTTCCACTGAGACTCGCGGTTGCGGACAGAGCGGCGAAGCTCATCCGCCAACCCACCGGTACCGCAAGTGCTGACACAAGCAGCACCAATACCTTCTTGCATCTCCTGGTCGACCAGGGCTTGGACATTGGGGCGACCAGGGAACATTTGAACACTGGAGGATGGCGAGTGAATCTCCTTGGTGCTGCGAGGACGAGTAACGAACAGCAGGATTTTGAGAATCTCACGACGGCGTGGCATGGACAAGATCTGTGTCATCCATGTACGGATCCATTCAAGATGTTCAGGCGATTGGATGATCCAAACAAGGGTGAGACGACGAGTGGCGACAGTTCCGTTTGCGTAGCCAGCAACAATATCACGGACGTGGGGAACCTGGTGAGTGATACCGATACCAGCAGCCCATAGCATGACAGTACCATAAGAGCTGAGATCCTCACCGCCTGCAGTGTGACGTTAGCATGGGTTTAAATTGAGTTAATATCCGCGATATTGCAGAATCTGGGGAAAACAAGCTTCGGTACTTACCGTATGGACCCTCGACATATGCCGAAGTGGAAAATCTGCCGGCAGCAGATAGGTCTGCCTTCTTGAATAGCTTGTCGGTGAAACCGGTTCGTCGTCGGATGATGAAAGACATGCTGGTCTTGTGATGCTCAAGGATGTCTTGGCGGTTCATGGGAAGACCCTTCTCATCGGCGACGGAGGAAGCAATGGTAAGGTCTTCCTCCTCCTCGCTCCAAGCGACAGAGAACGGGTGGTTGGTCCAGAGCCCAACGGAAGGAATGTACAGATATGCGTGCTGGCCAGGGCGGAACCTCCACGGGCGAGCCATGCGGACTGTCACGCGGAGGGCGTCTCCGGGAAGAACTTCAACGTCGCAACCGGTACCGCCATTTCCGACGTTGCGCATGACGAGGCGGACAAAACGCCATGTGCGCTCCATGACCCAGAGAGCAAGTACACCGTAGAGCATAAATTGTTGTGGTCGCTCCTTTAGGTGCACCCATACAGCTCCAAGTGCGATGGCAGCACCAACGATATGGCCGTGCAAGAAAACCTCATAGAAGGAGTGACGCACTGGCGATGGAGACTGAATCAGTAGGAATACGAATGCAACGGTTCCAATGAAACCCGTCATGATGAACTCGCTTCCAGTGATGGATGCTTGCACAGCACCCCAGCCCTCTGTGATTTTGTTAGCACTGCGTTCCTGTGACACCGAACACGACCAAACTTACTCGTGTGAACCTTATTGGCGATCCAGCATACAGTATGGGCGATGGCCTCGAGGATAACAATTCGTCCAAACCAGCGGTGGATGAGGTTCATGGTGTCGAAGGAGATACCGGTGAGCTTGATGATGGGGTTGTTGCGACCAGCAAGTAAGAACAATGGAATCATGTTGATGACAGCCATGATACCCGAGCGGCTGAGAAGTTCGCCGGCACCCGAGGAGAAGGTGCTGTAGTCGATCTTCCAGACACAGAAGCCAATGTTGACCGCAAAGTAGCCAATGAGGAAGAAACTCTGCAGACGGCTAGGCAGGGTTCCAACACCAATGGCGGAGGAGAGCTTGAACTCGCGGTGGTGACGAGTGCGGAACAGGGGCGCATCGAGGCAGTGCTTCTTGAAAGCTGCGTAGGTCCGGTTGGGAATAGCAAAGTATCTCTGTGTCTCGTTGTTCAGGCATGTTACGGTGCGAATGTAACGGACGAAGTAGAGGATGACCTGGTACACGAAGAAGACGACAACAATGATCCACCAGATGTATCCGAGGTAATGTTGAACGTCGACATTCTCCAGACCAGCAGTTGGGTCTTCCTCACCATGACCTGCACGCTTCGAGAGGCCACTTGTGACTTGGGAGAGAGACATTGTCGTGGTGGAGAGGGAGGTGACGAGGGAGAGTCCGAGGGCAGAGGGTATACCAGGTGGGGATGGGGATATGTAGAGAGTGGACTCTGTCTTGGCCAGCAAACGACAGACGGGGGTAGGTGGGTGGGAAGAAGCACAACGGCACTTGTTCCGAATCGGTGATGAGAGGGCAGCCTAGACGTTCTCTTGGATCGCGGCGATGATGTGGTCGTGCGTCGTGACGGGCTTCACTATAGTAGATTGGGATGACTGGGTTCAGCGCAGGAACCCAGGGTTGTCGGCAGGCGCAATGCAGGCTCGGTTGACGTCGCAGGTGGTGTTGACGAAATCCAGATTGGGCGAGTTAATCAAGCAGGGATAAAGC